TAATTGTTTCATAGATGCATTTTAAATAAAGAATAACTATATCATTTTTTTTTATTTCTTGATAAAATTAATCTAAAATTTCTAAAAAATGATTTTTTTTATTATAGAAAATCAAACACAAAAATATTTATTCTAAGCAAATATCTTTTATGAGCTCATAATAATTTCAAGATATGTAAGTAAATGTTATGAAAGTTAATTTTAATTAAAGGTTAATTTATTATAATCTAGAATGTCAATTTTGATAAATTTCTAATAATATCTTAAACAATATAACATAAATATTTCACGACAAGTTATAACCAAAAATTAATAAAAATAATATTATCATTTCCACTACACTTAATTAATTTAATTGTAGGTTTAAATAGGTAATAGTCCTGGAATTCACTTAAAAATATGCAAAATAAAATTAAAAAAACATTTAATAAAAAATACTAATACAGAATCTTAGAGATAATAAATAACAGCGTTTTTTTTTCAAGAAAACATGTAAACCACAGAAATCAGAGGCAATGAATTTTTCAGAAAACAATTGATTCTTCGGAGTACATTGTAGTTGATTTCCTTTTGTGGAGACTTTTCAATCTCTCTGATAGAAATCTAATCATTAACTCGTTAAAGAGCCCAAAAGTTACTCTTGCGATAAAAAAAACTTCAGTTTCACGAAAATTGCTTAAAGGTTATCGAATGAGTTTCTATTAATTTGTGTAAACAATTTCTAGATGTGTTTTTATGGAAGTTTCAAATGAAATGCTACTAATAAATTATAATTTCTTGAACAAAATGTCATTTCTTCCTTAGTGCATTTTGTTTTAAGTAGTTTTGTTTTTAAATCTTTAATGGTGATATTTCTAGTGTCCTATTTTCGTAAACTCGAAAATTCTCAAAATAACAAATAATGTACATTTATTTGTTATTTTGGGTTTGAATAAAATCAGAATTTGACAATTATAAAATCTTCATATATTTCATATAAATATCAATTTATATTATATATTAATTAGATATTATTTAGAAAACTCAGAACCACCTGTAGGAAATTATTTTTATGTGTGTAAAGAGTTTAAAGATGCATTATTTAAGCCGCAAAAAAGCTAAAACTTTATTTTGAAATACAATAAGTAAAATATTTAAATTTATATTTTGTTGTATTAAAATGGAAAACAGTGAAAAATAATGTTTTCGGCCATTGGATACATTAAAAATTAATGTGATATATCTCAGAAAAATATGCAATACATTGGAAAAAAATTGAGATATGAAATTCAATTCTATTTATAATGAATAATTTATAATTTTTGTAAAATACACATTTCAAACTAAAAAACATCAGTTTAATTTTTTTCAAAAATATATATATAAAGCTATTTAAAAAATAGTTTATTCATATAATGCATTTGAACAATTATGAAATATCAAATTTGCATAATTAAACGCAAAACTAAAAAATTCTATATAACCAATTAAAATTTTAAAAATTCAAAATTGAATAAATTATTAGAAACTAAGGATGTAATTAAAAGAGTTTTAAATCATAAATATATTTTTGACGTATTTTCCTTTTACATTTAATTATTGAGGGAAAAGAATATGGAATCTAAAAAATGCATTTTCTTCATTTTTTAAAGAAGCAGTGAATTCTATGAGATGAATTGTTTCTATAGAAAATATGCTTATGAATATATTTGCATAAGTAAATAGGACGTGGTAGATCAAACCTTACCATGGATTTAAAGAATAACAGAATTCGATTTAAACCTTTGAGACTTAATTAACAATGAAGTATTTTTTTCTTACATTTCACGTTGTAAAGAATGCACAAAATAACGAAGGACTTTTAATTTTAATAACGTACGAAAGGAAAAGAATATTTCCCTAAGCATACAGAGTTGACTTAATTATTCTTGTTATTTTTGGTTTATTTAGAGCAAATAATGTACATTTTTTTCATGGATTATCTTAGGAACTTACATAATTGCATTGCTTACAAATGCTACAAAAAATCCTTTATATTTCTTCTCATTTACAGGATAGAAATTTATATATATTATTAATATTTCTGAAACAAATGGAAAAATATTCCCTAAATAATTAATAATAAAATTATATTTTTTTGCTAAATAATCCAATATTTCTTTTTAATACTAAATTAAATCTTTGAAGAACTTTTTATATACAACCCTAAAACATTTTTCGACGACACTGAGGTACCTTCAGTCACAAAATCAAGTATACAGTACAGTTGACACAATGTCTTTTGAAAAACCAAAAATAATTATGTACATATTATATTCAATATAACAAGTTATTTAAATAACAGAAAACTAAATCTTTACATAAAAAAGAGCACAAAAATGCAAAGACTTATTAACCGGGCAAAGTTATCTTAATTAATATGAAATTCCTGTAATATTCAATAATGTTACTACATTAAAAGTAAAGGTAAATAGAAAATGAAAAAATTTAGAAACGTTTTTTTCAAAAATAAAGAATTTTTCTAAGTCAACTATTTTTATTAAATAAAAGGGTTTCTTTTTTTTCTACTTATTATTATTATACTAGGCACTCTATAAGAGATATTTCATAACAAGCCTATTGTTCTGTTTAATTTGTTTCGTTATAAATATGCTTTTAATATGCATTTAATAACTAATACTAAAAATTAAAAATTCAATTTTGCGATACTTTGTATGCCTTTTTAGCCACAAAATAATCTTACCAAAGTATTAAAAATTATATATTATTGCAAAATAAATAATAATGCTTTCAAAATTTTCTTTCATGAAACAAATTTACAGTGCTGATTTAGATATGATTGTTTTCCAGGTATATTTAAAAAAAAGAAAATTAGTCTAACTAGTCTTAACCAACTCTAGTCTAGTCTTAATTAGTCAAAATTAGTTATTTTACAAAATTAGTCTAACATTTTTCAAAAATGATTTTTTTTTATTAAAAAAATCAAACACTAAGAAAATAATTATTCTTATCAAAAATATTTTATGCATTCATAATTACTTCGAAATAATAATTATGAAATTTTTAATTAAAAGTTAATTTATTCTAATCTAGGATATCAATTTTGCTTAATTTCTATTAACAGCTTAAACAATATAAGCATAGATACTTCATGATAATTTATAACCAACAATTAATAAAAATAATATTATTAACACTATATTTTTTAACGTAATTGTAGGTTTAAATACGTTATAGTCCTGAAATTCATTGATAAAATATGCAAAATGCAAACTCCTGGACATTAAAGAATAATTTTTGTTCTTATTTTTAGATTGATATTTGAATAACTACCTTTACTGCAATCCGTGAATTTCCTATTTTTACATCTTCCATTAGTATTACATAGCGTATTGACAAAAAGCAAATCTATTTTTTCTCTCATTTTCATTTTAAAGTCAAATCGAAAATTCGAAATAAAATATGGTTATTTTCTCGTTATCATGTTATTTCCAATACATTAGTTACGCGAAACATTTCATAGAAAAAACACAGAAATATTTCCATCAGTAAGGAACTCGGCATCAATACTTTTGTTCCTCAGAAACAGTTAGGTAGGTAAGTACCAATTTTCTTCCTAGACCTTTTTCGGATGATTTAGGGCTTAAGAAAATCTAAGCAAAATTTATATACTATTGATTTAGACTTCTTTTCAAATATCAAGAAATTTCATATAAACAAAATATGCTAAGTATTTTGTCTTGACATTGTATCCAATGTGCTTAAATTCACCTTTGCATTGAGATATTATTGTTAACGATATTTATATGTGTTGATTTAATTAGGATCAATTATTTTTAATAATTTAAATGATACTGTTCATGTATTAATTATTCTGTTATTTCATAACATCTTTATTTAAAAATTGATTAAATAATATTTAATTTTAAAAACTTCAAGGGAAAAAAATAGTTATAAATAAATATATATATAGTTGCATATTATTTATGTTGTTGTTTTTTGTCCTACTTGGTCGACAGCAACATCTAGACCAAGTCCATGAATCAGTGACGAGTTATGATAAAAGTTAAAAATGCAGTTTCTTTTTGTCCTTGATCTTGTGGCACAAAGACATGGGGTAAAGAATTTGGTTCGGTTTATCGCTCTACGGTCAATTTATGCACACTTTCGGCTAATTAGATCGGGACCTACAGTTTAATGTGGATTTCGAACCACTAACAAACATCCATGCCACAGCCAGGATTTGAACCTGAAGTATCAATGGTGAGACAACTAGCCAATTGGCCATCTGGCCAGCCAAGGGGCACCCAAAGGGAAAGTCTGACTTTACTCCACCCGCTTATACCCCCGGTCACTCGGTACCCATTGTAGTAACCTTTTACGACATAAAAGTGCTATAATGGGGCTATTCTAACCCGGACCCACATGGGAGTCATATTATATGTAAAAATTATATATTTTTCAATTTTTATAGAGACTAATCAAATTTGATTCGAAAATTTGAAGTTACACAATTTGAAAAATTATAGAATTCTTGTAAAAGATTTTTTAATTATTTAAGATTTAAGTTATTTTATTAGTGACTTATTTTTATAGCATAAAGGCTTAGCAATCATGCAGTGACAGCAAAATTATATATATATATTTTTAATTTCATAATACGTCTATCTGCAAGACGGAATTTTAATATCTTTTATGTGCAATCAATATTTTCTAATGAATTTCCACTTTTCTCTGGATATATAAATGTTGTTGTTGTTTCTTATCCCACTTGGCTGGCCAAGCTCACGAGCCCATATGGACTCATGATTGAAGGGGAAGGAAGCAGCTTCTGTTGTGATGGAGCACCCTTGACTTTTGCTCCGTGACGCTCTTACAGTCATATAAATACGGCTTAAAGTGGATTCCGAACCACTACAAACATCCATGGCACCGCCGGGATTCGAACCCGAAACCTGTGGCACCGAGCGCCAGAGCGCTAGACACTCGGCCTTTCAGGTCCCACATTTGCCAACGGCACGCTCCCAGGTGGTCACCCATACCGCGCCCAATGATGCTTGACTTCGGTGATCTAACGGGAACCGGTATATTCAGCATGGTACGGTCGTTGGATGGATATATAAATGGCGCATAGAAACAATTTACTTGACCTTGCGGGATAAATACATGGGGTAACCAAAGGGAAAAGTCTGACTTTACCTCAACTGGTTATACCTCTTAGCACTGGGTACACCTTTTAGTCGCCTTTTACAATATGCTTGGGCCACATTGAGAATATTCTAACTCGGACCTACACTGAAGTCAGATTATATATAATAGTTACATATTTTTCAGTTCTTATGTAGATTAATCCAACTTGATTCGATAATTTGAACTTGCACAATTTGAGAAAATATAATAATTATTTAGATTTTATTAATTATTTAATATTTAAATAATTTTATAAGTGGCTTTTATTTTTACAGTATAAATATTTAGTAGTCGTGAAGTGACATGCAGATTAGAATACATATATATTTTAAATTTCACAATACGTTTGTCTGCAAGATAGAATGATAACATCCTTTTTGTACAATCAATGTTTTCTAATGAATTTCAATCTTCCTAAGGATATATAAATTACACAGAAACAATTTCTAGACTTTTTATATAAAATAAAAACTAAAAGACATAAAAGAAGGAAAAGTCAATGAAAATATGAAAATAATTTAGAAAAATCAGATCACAAATCTAGATTTCCAAGAAAATTCAAATCAAAGAATATTTATTTTGTACTAAATATTTCTGAGTAGAATCAAAGCCTCAACAAATAGAAACCCAAATTTTAATTTAATTTGCCTAACATAAACAATATAATAAAATGTTTGTAATTTTATTAAACAAAATATATAAAATATTCATAATTTTATTAAAAAAATATATAAAATGTCCTTCTAAAATATAAATCATACGATATTCATATAATTGATTTTGATCATAAATATTTCCACGGCACATTTTGATTTAGCCTGAATGGAAATGCATTACATATGGCATTATAAGTCAGACAGGAAACAACCAAATAAATATTAGATGATGACTAACTACTGACTCATTGTTATGCATAGGTTCTGTTTTCAGACTCCTTGGAGATTGTGGATAAATCCCATGTAGTTCTAACTGAAGTTAGCTGAAACGGTTTTACAATCGTATTGCAAATAAAATATCCAAGTAGTTTATCCAAAATATATAAAATATTCATATTCGTTGTATCACAATCGATGGAAAAGAGAAAATTTTACTTTTTTTTAAATATTTGATAACAACAAAATGTTATTTCTTTTGCTGAACGTATAGTGTGAAGTTATTTGGAATCAATTAATTACTTACTCTTTATTTGCAGTAAAAAAAAGAAGCATAATAATAGATTATATGAAAAATATTTTAATGTCTGCCAATTCATGTAAATGTATTTTACAAATTTTACGATGTAGTTTATATTTTTTATTTTTCTATTAATTTGTTGCTTACATTTAATTTGTTCAAAAAAATCAAAGAACTTTATTATTTCAAATATTCATGAATTTCTCTTTCCTGAAACGTGTAATATAAAATTTAGAATTCAGAAGTCTGAAAAAGTAAAATAGAATAATTCAACTTGCACAATGTGATAACTATACATTAGACAATATAATTGAATGATTATAAGCGAAAACAAAATAAATAGAATTTATATTGCGATACTAAACAACATTTTCATTAACAATATCTTTCTCGATTAAGCCAATAATTTCGTTCTAAATAAATGCTATTTTTCAATGGTAATCGCAAATATATATCTGAGTGGTTTCAAAATTAGCTTCAAAATATATATTCAAGCTTATTACAAAATAATATATTATCTCCCTCAAAATAATCCAGTTGTAATGTGTACAATCAAAGGAGTAATATCCGACGATTCTATTTCTCTTTGGCATGATACATTTGAATCATTGTGTAGTATTTACGAACTTCAACATTGAATGACTTTCATAACAGCTTGTGGGAACATCTCGTATGGATATTTGAACTGCCTGGTGAGAAATTTCTGGTTTTCACCCTTACAATGTGAAAATACGGTGTAGTTCTCTTGAAAATAACACTTTGCAGCTATCGTAATCCTCTGTCAGTCATGAGCTGTTTATGGTTTACTATACGTGGAATGTTTCTCTATTATAAAAATAAAGATACTCGTGGAGTTTACGTAACTAGCGTGTATGAGGACTCAGGTTGGAATCAGCTAAGGGTCTGATACAGTCACTGTTTTAAGAAAGCGTAAATACTCATTACGATTATCATTACATGCATATGTATCTCGTGTCAACGCTATCTGGTGAACGTTTTCCCATACGACACCCATATTCGGGTCAGTTAGTCCTTCCTGACAAAAATATCTACCCTTCATCAAACGTTGGTGAATGGTTCATAGTTTATATAAAAATATCATTCTTGCTAATGTACATACGAAAAAAAAATCCCTTCTTTTCCAGCTAAAGTGAGCAGGATTTAGGTACGAATCAGCTGTGTTGCAATCATGGTTTCAGAAATGAGGAGATTCAATAGCGATTATGGCAATTTATGTAAGCTCCTTATATCGACATTCCGGCAGTCTGATATATTTTGGGTTTATCCCTTACCATATACAAATGCGAGACGATAATCCCTTAAAGTCGTACCCGGCGATACTATTTCCCACACAACTGTTAGTAGTATATTGTAGTGAAACATAGGATTCTTAGTAGATGAAAAAATTAATAATATTTTCAGTATTTAATGTACACACAAATTTGTCTTACTTTTAAACTGCAATGATTGATTAAAAAATTATAAATAATTTTTATAAATTCTTCTGAAAATGTTATATATGTTACAGTGAATGTGATTAATCTGTGAGTGTGAATAATCACAGGATTAATCCACTATTTAATAATAATCCACTATAAGATACATTAATGAATATGATTAATCCGTTATATGTTGCCGGTACTTATGCATAATCCCCTGAGTAATAAACTATTAGACGAAAGATTAATCCTCCACTATAAGAGATTAATCCGTAATCAGATTATGCATATAATCCGCCGGCATCGGATTATATGCATAATCCAATGCCGGCGATTATACATAATCACCTTATTAATCCACTATTAGATAGAAGATTAATCCTCCACAAGGTAAATTATTTAAGATGATTAATCCGTTATACGCATAATCAGCGGATTAATCCATTATTAAATAAAAGATTAATTCTTCACAAGATAGATTAATTAAGATGATTAATCCATTATATTATTAAACCGGTGCCGGGGGTTATGTATAATCATCGGATTAATTCACTATTAAATAATAGATTAATCCTTAACTATAAGAGAGATTATATAAGATTATTAATCCGTTATATGCATAAACTGGTACCGTTGATTAGGCATAAACACTGGATTAATTTACTATTAAACAAACGATTAATCCTAATCACTATAAGATAGATACATTAAGATGATTAATCCATTATATGATTAATCCGGTGCCGGGGATTATGTATAATCACCGAATTAATCCACTATTAGGTAATAGATAAATCCTTCACTATAAGGGAGATTATATAAGATTATTAATCCATTAAATGCATAATCTGGTACCGGTGATTAACCATAAACACCGGATTAATCCACTATTAGATAAAAGATTAATCCTCAACTATAAGATTAATTAAGATGATTAATCCATTATATGTTGCCGGAGATTATGCATAATCACCGGATAGATCACATTTACCTTAACGTATGCAATGCAAGCACACGCAAGAATCTCAACAGTTATCTGAAAGAATCTCAACAGCTCATTTAAAACTCCATTCCATGGAAAAGAAAAATCTTTTATTCCAAATGATTAAAAATTCATCCGATTACTATTTATCTCTGGAAAGAAATAACTTTTGAAAGTTGATAAACACCCAAGAATAAAAACAACACCAAATGAGACGTTTAAATTAATTACACCGTTTCTTTATTGTCACTCCCATCTTTTTCAGATTCTCTTTAAGAATTCCCTTCCCTTCAGATAGCACCCAAATAAATGAATCAAAGTTCTTTTGATCTTCCCGCCGAATGAATAACTTACAGTTCATCGAAGAAAAAAAATTACATAGTTATGAATCCCAGGCGATTTTTCATTCAGAATGTTGGTGACAGAAATTTACTCAATATGACATAGGAAGGAAAGATACATGGAATATATTTATTGTGAGAAAAAAGAATCTTTCATAAACATGCTAGTGTTTATTTATTTATTTTATAAAAAAAAATTATCAAGAGTTCATTTATTAGGTTATCTCAAAGAGTAAATTTTGTTGTCGTTTTTAGTTACTGAAAGATTTATTTTTATAAAAGGTATTTGTTTTAATTATAGTTTTCGAAAATCTTTATATCAGTAACTGTGTGTTTTTTTTTTTTTTTTTTTTTTTTTTTTTTGCTTGTATTTATTTTGCCTTTAGTAATGTGTTAAGGAAATATTTAAAGGGGTATTTAATATCTTTTGTACGTTAATTTGATTTTTTCTTAAAAAACTGGAAGAACTTTATTTTCATTGACACCTTTTGTAAAAGGACTTTTTGAATCGTTTTAAGTATCTTTCATCTTCTATCGAAATTATAGAAAAAAGTAATATAATCTTATTTATGTACATAAAAATTAATTTTATTACGTAAAGGGACTTCGAAAAAATATATGAAAAAAAATTGTTTTTTAAAAGAAAGAAGGTATGCAATATTTTTGAAAAATGCTTTTGAAAATAAATTATTTTTGCTGAACCGTCAAAGACTTGAAAATATTAAATAAAAAATATATATTAATAATTCGATAAAATAAAATGAATTTATTCAAAATGACTGTAAGATTTTTTTTTAAAGAAAATATTAGAAATGATGATGATGTTGTTTTTGATGTTTTCTCGAATAGTATTAGGCTTAAACACGGTCTTAATATATGGCTTAAACATATTTAGATTAAGAGCATAATTACAAATCTCATTAATTTGTTTAATGAGATTTCATTAATAATATCATTGATAATTTTTTTATCGTAATTTAATG